TTAATGAAATTACTGTTTTGTCCTGAGCCATGAAGATGTTTTACTAGTATTTTACCAATGAAACATCTTAGTTTTACCAGTTTCATCATTGAAACATCTCCCTAGAAGTGCTCCTAGGATTCGCACACTACATTTGTCACTCGGACGTGTTCTGAATTTTATGTTGTTTTTGAGAAGCCATTCTGGTATGTTAGAAATCTAAATCTTGGTAGAGAAAAGCTGAATTCCAGAACAAACTCCGAAATGCTTGATGAGTGAAGCATCTTTTCCCTAACTCAGTGCTCTGTGTGTAATCAGTGCTTCTTGTGTCTTTGTGAAGCATTCATATGTATTCTTTTAGAGTCTGTATTAATGATTTTCATCCAAATATGATGTTCAGAATGGTTTCCAATAATCAACTATAAGCTGTTAGGTAAATTTACTTTTTAATCCTCAGCAGGAAAAAATGTAATTTTTTCATGTTCTTATGGGCTTTGGCAAAATCAAACAAGTTTAACAAAGAAGTATATAATATGCAGCCTCAGAGAACTTATTTAATAGTCAAAGCCAAACATAATTTAACTATTTATAAAATCAGGGAAAAGCAGTATATCCTATATCCATAATATGAATTAAGGTCAACATGAAAAAAAGGGCACAAAAACTCAGGCTCACTTGTCTTTAATCAAGAAACAGGATTAAGGTCCTTTTGCTAGACCATTGCTCTGTAAAACCTTCGAGAATGTTCAGTGCTCATGTATTTTATAGTTAGGGTCTTTTCAGCCAAACTATTCATATAGTCATTAAGCATCTCATTGAATAACCTAATCACATGTGAGATGTCTGTTTTTCATTAGAATGCATTCTTGATCCGTAGAATTCTTTTGTAGAAATATTTTTGATCTGTTTCATGTTTATCCTAAACATAATTATTCACAAGCTGCAAGAATGAGACTAGACTTATTCGGCTACATTAAGTTTCACTGAGGATAACACGTTCCCTATACGTGGGCTTCCAGGCACCCCCAGGTGTAGCCCAGAGAACCCATGAACTTCTCTGGAGTATCACCCTGGAGGCTCCTGAGCACCGCCGGGGTAGCCCTGGTCCCTCCCACCTCCTGCCCTGCACCTCACTGCACCAGCACCATGTCCTTGGACCACTGAGCTGCTTCCTGTGCTAAAGGGGTGGGCTCTGCTTAGAAGTCCCTCCCTGTGCCTGAAAAAAATCAAAAGATAAAGCATTTCAGTGTTTTGACATTACTCACAAACCTTATTTATTTTTGTTTGGGGGGCCACACCCAGCAAGGTGCTCAGGGATCTCTATTGGCAGTGCTCAGAGGAACCACACATTGCCGGGAATAGAACCCAGGTATCCTGCCTACCGAGCACAGCTGAACCCAGTCGGTCACGCAGTAAGGAAAGCACCCTACCCACTTGACAATCACTCCGGGTCCTAACATCTTACCACTTTTAAGATAAACTTAGGGTACTTTTCTACTAAGCTTGTCACTGCCAGATATTATTGAACTATGAATCATATTTTTCTAGATCAAACAACTTGTCCTCTGAAGAGAGATGCATGTGAATTTGCAGATTAATTACATTCTTTGAGTTCATTGTTGCCAGGACTTGACAGGTAGTCAATCAGGAAGACTGATGGAGGGTAGAATTGTTGTAAGGACAAATACATACAAAATGAGTACATTAGTGCCTACACGGTGCTGAATCAATAGACATAGACCATTCTGGGGAGCTCGTACCCTCATCACAAAATCCCATCAACAATGCTTGTGCCAAAGATGATCGAATGTTAGAGACAAAATAAACTCTGAGTGAGATGAAAGAAAAGTAAAAGGACTGGTGTGAAGAAAATTAACGTGCTGTCTCCTGGGAGAAAGTGTAAAATCAGTCAGTGGAGGGGATCCTGCACGTCCGCTCGGCGATGTTAATTAAGCTAGAATGGTGGTGATGATTGATATCAGCAATGCAGGGAGCCTTGATGGTGTGAGATCTTGAAGTCTTAGATTTCTACACAGCAAGTACTTGTTGACTGTCTACCATGTGATCACACGTCATTACACAGAGTGAATTAATCAAGTATCCTGAGAGCTAACCTAGCAGAGGGAACAGTATATGAATACTCTGTTACGACATCTGCTTGCTTTTTTTTTTGTTCCAGAACACACACACACACAAAATTGGAGCAAAAAAAAGTTGCTACTATCTCTAGAGAGGGTTAAATATTCACTAGTTACAAGACTGAATCTTCAAAGGGCAAGTTAGAAGCTTAGAGGAGGAAAAGATGCTTTGGAGAATTTCTGTTTGCTATTTGTGACTGAGGAGACACTGAAAATAATCTGCAAAATTAGGAACCCAATAAAAATATCATCTAAAGGGCCAGTAAAACAGAATATTCTTCATTTTATGCATATGTATGTATATATATATGTGTATGTGTGTGTGTGTGTGTGTGTGTGTGTGTGTGTGTGTATCCATGGCTTTTTTTCCCCTTGCAGTGCCAGGGGCCAAGCCAAAACCTCATTTATGTGTTTCTACCACTAGCTACTTTCCCAGGTCTTTAGCTCCTGGAGTTTTTAAATGTTTACTTGGTTGAATTTCTTAGATTAGGAACTTGCCCCTGAACATAAAATTGTGAAAGTTGTATATAACAAGAAAGATTCTATCTGCCCTTCCGTGAACCTGAGGGTCACGGCTGACCTTTAAGATTCCCATTTTAGAAGGTGAAAGACCTCTGGAGGTCAGGAGAGCTAATGAGATAACATGCACTTGTTATCAATAAAAAAACATTCTGAAAAGATAGATCCATCTTTTTCTCCAAAGAGAATACATTCTCCTTTAGAATTGGAGATCCAGTTTAACATGATCCACATTAGAGGGGATTGGGGGCGGGGGTGATTGTTGGTTTAATTGTTGTTTTATAGTATTATTTTCCAATGAAATCAGTTTTTTTTTTCCAGTGGAGGAGGGAGTTTTTGTGGTTTTCATTTCACAGGTTGAGTTGGATGGGTATTAGTCACCCATAAAATAGAAACTGCTCCCCATCTCTCTGACCCTTCCAGTATTTCGAGATCATGGGATCACTGATTTGTGAGGTGCAGTAAAACTATGTCATCTGAAGAGAACCAGAGCAGGGCCCAGAGATAACAATGCTATGTAGACTCTGTGGCCAGTGCAGTTTGTCTTCCGGGGCTGTGTCCGTGTTTGGTCAGTACAGCTACGGCAGAAAGTGCCTGGACAAACTTTACCTTAAAGGCACTGAAGGACACACCGAAGGGGAGCTTTTTCAGCACAGAGAATGCCACAAAGGGCAGAAATACACAGCAGCAGGCGGACGGCAAGCCCGGGAAAAGCGATTGCCGTTGTGTTTATAACTAGTCTCAGGAATGAACTGTCATTGATTCGGTCAAGTGGATAAAAACTTGAGCCAAATCAATGACATAATAAATCAAGAAATATTGTCTGCGAGCATAGTCTCAAAAACAAGACTTCTCCTCAATCTGTGATTGATAGCTGAATTGGGATCCCATGATTTTGGAGCAGACGTAATGAAACGAGTAGACTTTAATTTTTAAACCACTTTGGTAGGTTCTAAAGCACCCAGTAGTGTGATTTATCCTGCCGTGTTTCCGTGGTTTTCTTCATCGAAAGAGATCACTTTAAATACTTTCTTGGCCGCATAGTCACTAAGAAAAACTTATTTTGTAATCCTTTAAAAGAAATTAGCGAACTTACTTTAAAAGATGAAAAAGAAAGGAGATCATTACAAAACAGATATCCCCATACCTGTTTGAACTGAACCCATGTAATTGTATATTATCTCTTTACTATGGATGTAAATCTTACGTTTTAAACTCGCACATATTCATCCTTGTTAAATGATTGCAAGCTACCATTCAGATTTGGGGTTCTACAACATTTGACATATACCATAGAACCAATGATAAATGACTTCAGAGAAGAGATTGTCTAGAAGTACTTATTAGGAACCGAAACTAGATGAGGAAAATCCCTCCCCCCCCAAAGAAAGTCCAGAAGGAATTAATACAACAGGCTAATGATAACCAAAGGGCCCGAAAGAAGCACGCGGGTAAGGATATATCATTATCACCACCCACAGTCCCTTCATTCGCCTTTTGAAAGCTCACCCGCTTTAGGCTTTTCCACCGGAGAAATTTAAAGAGAGGAAAATACTGTCAAATATACTCAGTTTGCTTTCTCTTTCCTATGTTTCTACAACATACATACATGGACGTTCATGGAACCTTTGCTTTCCTTAATCTCCAGAATTATAAAAAGGTAAAGGCACTCCCGTTGATCGTCGATTTGCTCGAGCAGGCCCAGTAACGTCTCCATTGGAGACTTTGTTGTTACTGTGTCTGGCATATCGAATACTCTCGGTAGCTTGCCGGGCTCTCCGAGAGGGGCGGAGGAATCGAACTCGGGTCGGCCATGTTGGCCGCTTGTAAGGCGAACGCCCTACCGCTGTGCTATCACTCCAGCCCTCCAGAATTATAAGGAAAGAAAATTAGTGTTTTCAGACTTGTAAAGGTCACATCAGATTGCCTATTGCTCCGATGTAACTTTTTTTTATTATATTTTTTCAAATTGAGAATTTTCAAAGCATGAACATAGACTAGGATAGGGCAGTTTTAGACAGGAATTCATAATTGTGCTGTTGAAAGCCCTGCCTTAGATATGAAAAGGATTACAGGAGCCAGGTCATTGAAAGTACTGGAGGGCCTGGAGCATTAGCACAGCGGGGAAGGCGTTTGCCTTGCACGCAGCCGACCCGGGTTCGATTCCCAGCATCCCGTATGGTCCCCCGAGCACCGCCAGGAGTCATTCCTGAGTGCAGAGCCAGGAGGAACCCATGTGCAATGCTGGGTGTGACCCAAAAAAGAAAAAAAAAAGTGCTGGAGTCACACACTCTAGCTATAAGTGGACGATTCTAGAGTCAGTTTCAGCGTGTGCCCCCTTGACTCCCCTTTTGGGTTTCTTACCTCCAGGGGGTATGTAGAAATAGTTGAGCTGGGCTTCATGCACCAAAGTGCCCTTAAACTTCGTCTCGATTTCTGCCGGTGGCTGGCCGGTGAGCGGCTGGTATGCGGGTGTCGCCGGCTGAACAAAGGCTTGGAGCATGGTCAGTTTCCAGATTCGCAGTAGCAGCTGGATGATCGAAATAAGTAGATGTCCGGTTCATGAGCTTTTCTCCTTTTTCTCCCTTTTGCCCCCAAGGCCTGGAAATTACTGTCACGGCAGCCTCTCCATGGCCTAGCTACATCGATGCAGTTTTGGTGACAGTCGTTTATTCCAGACTTTAGGTAATTTGGCTCCCGGTTCTTTCCGACCTTGTCTCTCTCTCCTCGCCGGCTTTCCGCACTGCCCCCAGGACGGGCCTCTCACCCAGGGCTCCACAGGAAACCTTGGATTGAAATGTGCCGTGACTGGCTCCTGTCAGCCCATCAGCTCATCACCTTGCCAGGGGCGTGACGGTCTCTGGGTTTTATACATCAGCACAAGTGGCTCTGAGACAGCCTCTTGTGGAGAGAGGAGGGAGTGATTGGTTTGTCTTGAGGTTGGGAGACCTTGGACCCAAGAGACAGAAAACTTCAGTGGAATGTGCGCTTCCATGGACCTCACAGCTCCTTTCTCAGTGGAATGTGGCCTTAGTAGCAAAGCTATTTTTAGGAGGAAATAAACCCTGCAGGCCAGGTCTGTGTTTTTTCTTGCCATTGCTTTACTTTAAATATATATATATATATATATATATATATATATATATATATTCTTCAATTTTTATTAGTGAGACACCATGAGGTACAGTTGTAGACTTAAAATTTTTGAGCTTGGGTTTCAATTATACAATGATCCAGTACCCATCCCTCCACCAGTGCCCATTTCCCACCACCACGGGTCCCAGTATCCCTCCCACCCCCCAACCCCCCATCCTACCCTGCCTTGGTGGCAGGGCATTCCCCCTTGTTCTCTCTCTCCTTTCGGGTGTATGGATCACCATGAGATACAGTTACAGACTTACAAACTTTCGGGATTACTTTTCATCAGATGGGACAGTTGTAACTCCTGTCCCCTCACTCCCCACCCTTCAGCCCTTGGCTATTTATTTATTTTATTTTTATTAATGTAGGAGCACTGCTATTTATTCAGCCACTGATTAGGCTGATTGAGTTGGGGGTGAACTCAATGCCTTTGGCTATTGAAATATCAGGCTCTAGCTCAATAGAGGAGCGATTTGTAAAGGATCCCTTTTGTTGTTTGTTTGTTTGTTTGTTTGTTTGGGGTCACACCCAGCAGTGCTCAGGGCTGACTCCTGGCTCTGCTCTACGGGATCATTCCTGGAAGGCCTGGGGGCGGGGGAGAGGGACCCTTTAGGATGCCGGGAAGAAAGCCCTTGTCAGCGCATGCTGGGCAAGCACAGCCCCCCGGTACTATCTCTCCAGCCCAAAGGATCCCATTTGAGTCCTTCCATACTTGAAAGATAAATGAATGGCCAGGTCCTAAGGAAATCTTCCCAGTGTCTCAGTAATCACTAGAAATGCAGGCTTTCCCTGAGTTCTTCGTTGCCATCTGAAAGATGTTTTCGTAGCATTTTCCTCCTTCAAATCTGCGGCATCACTATCTCACGGTAACGACATTGTCAAACTGCTTTTCTGTTTGTGTCAACAGTTTCCTTGGCACCCTGCCCTTAGGAAGCCAGGTTCCTTATGTCAAATGCCACCAGTGTGTAGCCTCCCCCCAAACGACACCCACAATATTTCTACTGATAAGTTCGACTGACAAGACACAAATGCCTGGTGTTTCCTTTGCCATTCTGGCTGAAATTTCTCAGGGAGCTGCTTTTAGGCTTTCTCTTCCCCGCTCCTCCCCCCTTTCTCTCTTGATTGCTTTTGGAAAACAGTCAGTGGGGAAGGAAGTTTTCACTGGAGCCATCAGGCTTCTTGTTTTGTAGCAAAGATGAAAGCCACCAAGGCATGCAGATGTATGCAGATTTATCCCATGGTTGAATGTCAGGGATCTAATCTGCTTTGATTTACAGAAAGAAACACAGGTGGTTTCCTACACTTGGAGGGCGCTGTACTGGCCATCAGAGTTAGGTCTGGAAACCACCTTGAATCCAGATTTTCAAGATGCACTTGTCATGACCTCTGGGAGGAAAGAATTCCTTTAAGATGCGAAGGTTCTGCACACAGTCTTCTGAACTCAGGTGCTCTCTTTTGCTCAAAGTGTCAGTGTATTAAGCAAGAGAAGGCCCTGTCGGAGTTCCGAAGAGGGTAGATCAGTCCTGTTCAGTTTGAAGGCTTTTTATACTTTTCCCAATTTGTGTGTGGGTAGGGAAGATAGAAATTCCTGGCCCACTAACTGTACAAAAGGTTAACCACCTTTCGATAAGCTGGTAATTCACATAGGTAGAGTTTCTTTTTAAAATCCCTACGTAAAATAATATGAAAACACCTTTTGATTCTTGCATTTATGCTGGAAAAAGCAGAAATCCCCCCCGCCCCCAAGAACACAAGGCGAATGGGGAAAACAAGTAACGGTTAAAATATTGCCGCTGTTTCGATGGCCAAATAATACTCAGGTATTTAAATGTTTTGAGGGTTTCCACTTTAAAGTATTTTTCTTGGAAAATGTATTTTGTTGGTGTTCAATGCTTTATTATAACATTACATCTCAAGGAAGATAGAAAACTTTTAATTTTGTCCAAGAGCTGTGATTCAAGAGTTGTTGATAGTTGAGTTCTAGCCACGTGATGATAAGCACTGATGCCGTCGCCAGCATCAGGTTCCTCCTCCTGTGTCCCCAGGGCCCCTTCTACACCCCCAACCTGCCACCGTGGCACCTGCACATTTTAAGCTTTGGTTATTGTAGTTCCGATCTCATGTTTTCAGGGCAGCGGACTCTGTGGTTTGCATATCTAGTTGCCGTCCTCCCGCACGTTACCCAGGAAAAATTTTGAAATGTGTATTTCGTAAATGTGTTTTTTGGTATGATTAATATCACCAGACCCTCAACTAGACCTTTATAAATGTATTTTTGAAACATTAGCCTTTACTTTCAAAAGGAGGTAGATTGGATATGTACTAAATTATTTGAAAATTATTAAATGAATCAGTTGCAGCTATAATATACCACATTTTTCTTTCATTACTCATTGATTAAGTCACACTTCTACCTAATCTTTTAGCAGTAGTAAATTTTCTCTACAGGTATTTTGAAGTCAGAGATTTATTACTGAATTTTATTTTTGCCAGCAATCTATTCTAATTTACGGCTTACAAAACCAGTTTTTTAGTTAGCATATTGCTGGAAGGTGGAAAAGAGAGAGAAGTTTCTAGGCTTACCTTGTATATTAAGTTTCTGAGTACTTAAAAATAAAGATAGAGTATGTGTGTTTTTAAATATGCAATAAAGCATGGAAACAGTAATACTTTGAGGCTTGGGATTTTTCAAAACCAGGAATTCAGTTTTTTTCCATCTGTATTCGCTCCTTAAGTGTACAAGTACTATATTTTTTGAACATCATACTTTAGTAAGTGAGGAGACTGTGTGTGTGTGTGTGTGTATGTGTGTGTGTGTGTGTGCTTGCGCGCGTGCGTGCCTGTGCACACATGAGACTTTCTCTTTGGACTTAAGCAAATCCAATGTTAGGTTTCCAAACACTAACTGTAATGATTGGTTTTGTCTACTTAGTAAGTTTGTGTTCTCCTTTAATTTCCATCTAGTAGTTGTGAAGATGCTCATAATTTGTGTGATTCCTTTTTTCTTTTTGCAGTGTCCATTTACGGAATTTGGTTTTATGATAAGGAAGAATGCCAAAGAATTGCAGAGCTTATGAAAAAGTGAGTAGCTTAACTGATTGTAAAGCCTGGGCCTTTTGTTTGTATTCTAAATTTGTGTAAGTATACTACAGCCTGCTCGGTTTGGGACTGGGCCTCCTCCACCCATATCCCCCATCTTCCAGTATGTAGGCGTTACACCCACCAACTGCCCCCGGTGCTGTGTAATCCCATCAATGGCCAAGACCCAGAGACTATAAAACCTAGCTCCCGGAAGTGCGCGGCCGCATTTATGGCCGCGCGAAATGTTATTATCTAGTTCTTACTCTGGAGAACCTTGCAGGCTACCAAAAGTATCCTCCCCACACGACAGAGTCTGGCAAACTCCCCGTGGCGTACCCAATATGCCAAAACCCAGTAACAATGATGGGTCTCATTCTCCTGACCCTGAAAGAACCTCGAATGTGGCACTTTTTAAAATCTCAGGGCTAGGACGAAGGAGACGTTACTGGGGCCTGCTCGAGGCAATCCATGAATAACAGGATGACAGTGATACTTCAGCCACTTGGTTTCATGGCCACTCCGGGCAGTGTTCAGGGGCAACTCCCAGCTTGGTGCTTAGAGGTCACTCCGAGCAGTGTCAGGGAGAGCAGTGTGGCTCTGGGGATCCAGCCCTGGCCTTCTGCGTGCAGAGCACGTGCTGTAGCTCATGTGTGCACATAGCCCAGCCTACACTGTATCTTTAATATGTGTGTCTTACTACAGTTCTTTTCACAGTGGCTGGGGAAAGACTTACCATACTTAGGAGATGGGAATAGACATAGGTAGCAATCTTGAGTTATTAATAGCTTAATTAATAATCAGTAGATGGCCTCCCTCCCTCCATCTTTCCTTCTCTTTCTCTCTCTCTCTCTCGGGAGATTGTAGGTAAGATTTATCATGTAGGGCCAGAGCGATGAATAGTTCAGCGGGTGGGTGCTTGCTTTGCCTGCGTCAACCCTGGCTCACTGCACAGCATCGTACATGATCCTCTGGGCACTGCCAGGAGTGAGCACTGAGCACAGAGCCAGGAGTGAGCCCTGAACCTAGTTGGGGATGGCCCAAGCCCTTCCACTTCCAAAAAAAGGTTTGTCGTGTAGAATTTTTTTTTTCTGCATGTGGAAAATATCTACAATATGAATTCTTTCCGGTGGTACTTTTCAGATGGAATATTGACTGCAATTTGGAAAAAGGTGCTCCAGATTATCTAAGAATTTTGAGCCTTTCTCCTTGTTTGGGGTGTGGGAAGATGGGTTTTGAGGCCAGCCACCGCCGGGAACTCCTCACTCCTGTCTCTGTGCTTGCGGGTGCTTGGAGAGT